AAAAAAAAAAACTGAATTAATTGAGGGGACAGAAGCTCACTTATGTGTTGGCATTTTCTCTGCCTTAAAAAAGGCTTTTTGAACTAGTTCCATTTTCTGCACAAAATGTGTGCATTTTGTATGCGCGTGAAACTGTGTCAGTTGAGACAAATTGTTTGGAAAAGGCTGCTCTTATGTAACATCATTCGGCTCTAGGAAATGAAAATTTGAAGCTATTTTAATGGGCCTTTTAAGCAGCAGAGATTGGGAGCACGAGGAGATGATTTTTAATCAAGTAGCAGCAGAATGTGGGCATCCAGAAAACAAATAATTTGTCACTTATCCTGCCAAAAGAGCTGATGGAAGAAGGGCTTAGGAGGCCATACAGATAGTCTTTACCTTTAAGGACGGTATTTAAATTTTAAGAGCAGACTGTGATACCTGTTTCTCGCTGAACAGTGTGCACACCTTGCGCTACATTCCGGCTGTCTCGGCGCTGATCGTGGTCTGTGGTCCCACATGCCCTGGGAATCGCTGTCTTTCCTGTGTCTCTTCCTTTATGGTTGCGTTAGACAAAACCGTGGAGCCCTTTGGAGACCACAAGGATTTCTGCACTGTGCTCTCCTCTATGCTGGCAGTTTGGCACATCTCTGTACAATTTCTGTGGCTTCTTGGCCTTTTCTTGGGCAACATTTGTATTGCATCTGGCATTAGCACTGGCTTCCTACAAACAGGAAGCCTCATTTAGCTTTTCTACAAATAACTGCTTTTCTCAAGTGCATTTAATGAGGTTGTTGCTGTTCTGTAGCCTTCTGCATAGCAGTTTTACTGCTAAAAATAATTGTTCAAATTGTGACACTCTCCAGTCATGCAAAAGCTGTCAGTGCTACAGAAAGTACTGGTGTGAACATGTTCTGCAGGAAGAGAAACTTGGGGTTGCTGGGCCTGCTGCAGCCCAGCTTCAGTTGAGGCTCTTGTCAGTAGACTTGGGGGTATCCAAAATGTCTTTGCTGGGATGTCTTTGTAGGCAGGATGTTGGGTGAGATTTGAGTTATCCTGGGATGTGCTTGTTGTGTGTTCATTCCTTGTGAATGAAAGAAAGGAAGTAGCTCACAAGCCACTGAATTAGCCACTGAATTTCAAGTGTTAAGACATGCTTTAAAAACTGTAACTTTAATGTGTTCTCTGAATTTTTCATTTGGAAGGGTTGCTTTTCAATGTAGCTGGTTAATGTTCTTATGTAGAGTGTTTACTAATATATAAATATAAGTATGTATTTTATTTACGCACGCACATACACACACACTGTGCAGAGTAAGTTGTTCTGCCTTCTCATTAATTTATTTTTTGAGAATTTACCATGCCTGCTACCCGCTCAAAAATTCATCTTTCTTGACTTTTAACCTACCTTAAAGTGTTTCATTTGGAATAATTAAATATATATATATATATACACATATATATATTCACAGGAATTACCCCAAAATGTAGCAGAAGTGATTCCCTTCTTGATACTTTTAGTCTAGTGAATTTTCCAGCTCCCAAGCACCTGACTCAGTAGCACTGTGAAACTGCTAGAAAAAGAAAAGTAGTGCTTGTGATATATAAGGAGGTTTATTCTAGAATTCCATATGCCTTACTGACCTTCTGCCTCTGCTTAGAAGTCTGCCTGCAGTCAACTTTCTAACAATAATTTCTTTTTCTTTTTCCTAAGACCATTCAGTTACAACAGACCAAATGGAGCAACATGGCTCTTTCATTGGCAAGCTGGGGAATATTTCTCTTTGCTTTGTTTTTAAAAAATCAATGATGTTTTCATAAATGGCAGTATTCAGTGCACAGTCCTGAGTGTTTGTTGACTTCCCAGTTCCGTACTGAGGCAGTTGCAGAGGTTAATATTAAAGCCCCGGCAGCAAATCCAATGGAAGGAGCAGTGTGGTGGGAAGACAGAGCAGACAGAGAGACTTTGAAACTCCCTTTTACGGCATTGCATGGTTTAAATGCTATTTTCATCAACTTCCCTCTCCTCCATTTAGACTGTTCTTTAGAAGAAGGTCTCTTGTGCACCTAGTGTTTCAAAATTAATTTTCTTGGGCTTAAGGCATTAAATTCTATATACCGAAATGTCACTGCCATTGAAAAGAAAAGGTGTGTGATTTCCGAATAATACTATCTGACTGTAATGTTTGTAGAGTGCCTCAGAGTGAACGAAAAGCACTTGAGTTGTGTTATTAACGTTCTTGTCAGAGCAAATTATAATGGAAAAATGTTTCCCGTCCAGACCCTCAGAACCCTTTTCTGGGGTTTTGCTCCTGTGTCCGTGGTGCTGTATCTGTGCTGCCTTCCCAACCTTCAGCAGGTTTTAATGTAGCTGGTTTTGATGTTTGGAGTCAGAAGGCTTCTTAAGCTCATAACAGTTTTCAAAGACTTTCTTAATTTTAAGGCGTACCCTAATGGCTTGTTTTATGATTATATCCCCTGCTGCAGTTACTTAGACATGACAGTAGTGTTTTCACATGCTAAATCATTGTAGAGGAACTAAAGACAGAAGAGTATAATATTCAAACTGTCGTTTAGGTGCAGTTGAAAAATATGCTAATTACCTAGATATCATCTGAATGATAATAAGTGTATTGATACGCCTCACATTTAATTGCCTAACCTAATTTAAAAATCTAACCAGCACCTTCTGGTTAAATCAGTTAAAATAATAATAAAAAGGAGTGATAATACATCACCCATCCACCTTGACAGTAATGAAATCTGTTACAATTTGATGAAATGAAATCTTTATAATTTGAAATATTTCTCTGTAGGCCATAATCAGGATTATAAAAGGTATTTTATCAGTTCCTGTGTGGAAACGTCATACTTGTTATATAACAATTTTTCCTTTCTTAGAAGAATGATTGGCCTTCTTTTAATGATTTCTTGGGAAGTGGGTGAAATGAGATTGAAGGAAGGAGGAGTTTCTGACCACTGAAACTTCTTTTTTTTCCAGTAACATTATCAGAGCAGTCAGTCTCTTGCCTAAGTAATATGTAGCTGTGATGTGAGAATATGTCCTTCATTTAAGGAGGCGGAGGGAGGGTCTAACTGGGCTTATTTTAGTAGAATGTTGTCTTCTGGAGCTGTTATAATGTGTGTTTTGTCAAAAGCTACAAAATTGATCTTTATACTCATTTGCAGTCATAAGCTGTGATCAGATCAGGCCTGTTTTGGAATCTAGCCTTTTTGCTGTCAAAATCAATGAAGCATTGTTTGTCCTGAGGATATTTTACAAAAACACACACCAATGTATTTTACATTGGTGTTGCAGAAATTATTAACAATTGCCTCTCAGGTTTTCAGCTGTTTCCTCCGCTTTTTAATGTAATGTTGTTTTTTTTTTCTTCCTGAATTGCATGGGTACTGTTTATTCTCCATGCTTTGCATGCTTGTATTTTCTTACTCAATCTGCTTTCTAGGTCTCCAGCTTCTTTTTTCTTTTTTTAAGTTGTTATAACCTGTCAAAGTCTTCAATAGCCATCTATTTAAAGATTTTAAAAATATTTGTCTTTTAATGGAGGGGAGGAACATATGAATCAATGAGCCACATACATAGTGGGAACGTGCTTTGATTTTTTTGCTGTGAGAATCACAGGAGCAGACTGTTTCTGCAGCATCATTCCTCCGATTTGGGATGTACAGTATGAAGGCAGCTGCAGTCAGCTGACAGCTTGTGCTCGCGCTCGGATGTATGTGGGGAAGGGGTGCGCTGG